TCATCATTATATTTCTACCCTCGAGCATACTATTGTAATATTATATGGTAATCACTGATTTTGGTTTGAATTTAATGGAAGTTAAATTATAAACTTAATGGTAAAATGTACATTTTTTCAATATTCTCAGGAATAAGTATAAGGGTTTTGTAAGTTATAACATACTTCCCAAATATGTATGTTATTGTTTGCATTTAATTGTAATAACCCCAATTTGCTAACCATATGATCATGGACAAACCCATAGCCACAGCAACAGCCTCTTTCCCAGGATTGTTTAAGTATCAAATATCAATATAATCATATATGTAAAATTACTACCTACCCTATAGACTGCTCTGCAAATATAATTTAGCAACAACACTTAATAGATCTAGTCTAAAACTGGGTATAGCTCATAAATGGCAAGATCAAGAAAATAAGTCCTCAAGAGAGTTTGCCATGTCCTTATCATCTTTAAATCATGTTAGTTTAATTATATTACAGTTTTATATGAAAAATAACCATATTCTATACATTTTAAATCTCAAACATGTATCAAACAATAAAACTATACCTCAGCCCTGGCCAGTGTGGCTCATTTGGTTGAGCGTCCTCCCATGAACCAAGATGTCACCAGTAGGATTCCCGTTCAGGGTACTTGCCAGGGTTGCTGCTGGATCCTCAACAGGGAGTGTGCAGGAGGCAGCCGATTGATGTTTCTCTCTCTCCCTTTCCCTTACTCTCTCTCTAAAATCAATAAAAATGTACATATTTTAAAAACTATACATCAGCTTTTCTCTGTGACCTCCTGGAAGAGTAACTTTCATTTTATATTTAATTAATATTTTCTGTGTAGTTGCATCTTAGGCATGGTTTAGGTTCCAAAGTTAATGGGAGAGGATAAAAACTAAAAAATAAAAACCCCACCATGAAAAAATTCTCTGAATTATCCTTAAAATATGGTATTTCCAATAGTGAGGTATTCCTTAATATCAGAAAATGTGCACACAAAAATACCCCAAGTCTCTTTTGGACATAGAGATACTTATGTGATGAGTGGTGTGAGGAGACATACAACTGAGAGAACATTATCCCTACTCCTCCAGCCATGAGCTCCTTGAGTAAAATGGGAAGTGGAATCTTCCCCCCAAATACTTTTAAATGTATATATTTGAATGTAAGGCAAATTAATTTTCATGTGACTATACTGTAGTGAGTTACTACTGTGTGCCATGCACTCTACAGGGGACTGGCAATGCAGTGAGGTACAAGAGAGAAAAGATGTTTGTCTTTGTGGACTTTACCTTGTCATGGGGGAAGTAAACCATGTATCACTTATGGATTAGACAACCAAGATTATGAACAGGTTATGATTAAATGTATAAAAAAGATATGTAAGGTGGATGATCAAGGAAAACTACTCCAGGGAGGTAACTGTTGAGCTGAACTGAGAGGAATAAAAATAAGTAGGCCTTGACTGAATTTGAAGGATAGTATAACCAAAGGTCCTAAACTAGAAAAGTACTGGTTTGTCAGTTCTTTCGTTCACTAATGAGGGCCTCTTAGGAGTCAGTCCTTGATGGAATTGCGCGGTTTGCAAGTCTGTCAAGAAGCAGGACTCTTGACAGGGAAAAGAAACTATAAATTAATAAAAAATATAACAGAGAAACCAAGATGGCAGCTTAGGTAAACACCAGAAATTGCTGCCTCGCACAACCACTTCGAAAATACAACTGAAAGACAAAACGGACATCATCCAAAACCACAGGAAGGCTGGCCAAAAGAGAAAAGCACAATGAGACTCAGAGGAGGTGCGGAAGTAAAGTGCAGAGGTACAGAGGCGCATGCGGAAAGGGCTGGCAACTGAGGACGCGGTTGTCTTTTTCAATCTGGAGGGAGACACAGGCTCCCACTCTGAACTCCAGTTCCTGGCAAGTCTCTGGGGACCCAGACTCATACGGGGAGAAACTGGACTATCTGGCATTGGTCGGAACTCAAGGGTGGCTTTCTCTCGGAGGTGCTTGCAGCAATTACCGAGGGACACTGAGACCCAGGGCCTCTTAGGGCTGGGCTGAGGATCAGCCATAGCTGTTTGCTCCGCCCTGTTGATGCCCTGAGACCCCGCCCCACCGAAGCTGTGCGCAGAGGCTTTTGCATATGAATGGCCTGGCCCTTTGCAATCTAAAATTACCTAACAAACTGCAGCTGGGTCAGAGAGACCCAGAACTTCCAAGAGAAGGCCCAAGGCCCCACAGCAGCTTGCATTGCTTCACATCTGGGCCTCATCTAGGCACCTCCAAACCCCAAACAAAGAAGAGGAATCTGCAGATCTCTCCATAGCTCCTGCTGGGTAGCCTCAGGCAGAGGCTAAATTAGCACCTCCTTAGAGATCCAAGAGCCAGTGTACCCAGTGGTCAGAGTGGGACCATCCAGATTACAACTCCTCAGATCCATAAGGGACACACTCAGGGGGCAGACTCAGTGAGCACCAAAGCCCCACTGAAGCAAGTCTTGCCCCAGAAGGGTGTCTCCAGCACAGAAGTTCTCCCACTGTAGACACAGCTGATTCTCACAGCCAATTGGCCTGGAGGTCAATTCCTCCCAGTGATAACTACAACAATCAAGGCTTAATTA